CCTGTTTCAGCAACAACAACTGTTTTCCTTTACGTAGAAAACGCGTAGGACTGGTACAGTTTTGTTTTAATGCTGCGCATGGAAAATAATCTTCTACCTTTTAGTTTTTGATTTTTGATTTCTGAGTCTTATGTGTTGTTTCCATCCGGTCGCTGAGGCTGGAATGCCATTGACGTTCTGAAAGATAAGGCGAGTCGATGACTGTAGATGACATCTGTGATCATCGCCAAAAAAATCACCAGGGGAAAGAGAACTTAAGAAATTCCTCAACTGATGCATGGGGAACACCCGTCGAGGGGCCGCTCGTTCTTGATCGTCTGCCTGCTCGCCGTGACCTAGCGGCAGACGATCGAGGGCCTCTCATTGCCCTGCCGTGGAGCGGGAAGCTCCACGGTTGGCCAATGGTGTCTTCTTACCCTTCTTGCCCTTAACCGGGACGGAGGGAGGAGACTGATGAGGGTGGCGGAAGATGGGGAAGACCGACGGGGTAGATGCATCGGATTGACTCCCCGAACCTTGAGTGTCAGTCAAGGACGGAGTGATAGACTCTGCATTGGGACCACCGTCCCGCTTGGGAGGATGTGCTGTAGGTGCCGTCCTCGGGGCTTGGTCCGGGGTCACTGACTCGACAAAGGATTTGGGGCGAGTGGCAGCACTCTGAGGTGGTAACATTGTCTTGGGCCCAGGTGCCGGAGAAGGAGATCCCGGCAGTGGGGAGGTGAGGGGACCTAGCTTGTTGGATCGTGCCGGAGTGGACGGTGAGTGTGGCTTTTCTGGGGGAGGAACATCCTCCTCCGTAGGCGACTTGTTGGAAGGCCCACTGTCGTCAAGCTGAGGAGGCTGATCCGTGCGGCTTGCTGATGTCTATTGTAGTAAACGCATTGCGGCAAGTTCGAGCGCCAACTGTTCAGATCGTAATCGTTCGGCCTCCAAAGCAGAATTCTGTTCGGACAAGAGATTGTCCTTGAATTCAATCTCCGTGATAGCAGCCTCCAGTTGACTATCCTTTTCCAGCAACTCATCCATGGCGCCAGCGACCGTAGCTCCGTCGTCAATATCTTTAGCGTCTGCCATATCCATATCAAATTCCAACTTTGCTTCACCGACATCAAGAGGATCAGAGCCAAAGCCATCCAGAAAGTCAATAGCTTCGTCAACGCCCTGTTGAGTTTGGTCGGCTGGTCGTGCCCGTAGAGTCTCCAAGCACCACACAAGTTCCTTGCGGCGTGTCGTGTGGATGAGAGACTTAGGGAACCATTTGCCCAGAACTCTGTTGGATCGAGTAGTCGTTGATTCCCCCAGATGGTGAGTGAAGAACGGAACCAGTCCTTTCCAAAACATTTGTTGCCAAGGCTGCGTACTTCAAACGGCTGATGAAGAGATAAGTCCCTTCCATTTCGCCAGGTAGAACCATGATGAACAGCGGGCTTGGGACATTATTCTCCAGGTCCATTTTTCGCTTCCTTTCCGACTCTCGGGCCCGGCGCTGTTGCGCTGGTGTCAGAACAGGGCCCTCGTTCTCAAGAGACAGATGCTTAGAAGTTTTTGGGACTTTCTTCTTTATCTTCGTCTTCCCTTTGGTCGACACTTTTGTAAACTTGTGAGAGATGTCATCAAGGAGAGAATCGTCAGAGTCGGAATCGGTATCCACATCGGCAGCAGCAACTTTATCAGCGTGCAATGACCGTGCCTTGACCGAGAGGAACATGGACAAACAGGTGCGAGGGCCAAAATCTTTTGTGGTCGCCTGTTTAAGCATTCCTGGGATCTCGACTGGGCAGTACTTGGCCTGGGTAAGTTCAACAAAATTGTTGTGCTTCGAAATCATGGTCAGATTCTCATCCTTCACTGGACCAACAGCCTTGACACTGATTATCCCATTTTGAGCTGCCTTCCAATCGCTGATGTAGTGGGTGACGGCGCACCACGGAAAATCTTTCTTTGGAGTCGAGGGGTGAAGCCACAGGCGTAATGCCCGGTCCACCCGCTTGGCGTGTCTTGCTCTCACGTAGACGTGCCACATCATGCACCCTGGTGCTCTTTCATTCCACTTGCTACGTCCGTTGTACGGGATGTTAACCCATTTGTACCGTAGTCCAATGACAATATCCCAACCGAAAGGACGCATCATTTCTTCTCGATGGCCTTAATGTTGATCTCCTGAGGGTAAAAACATAAGGCTCCAATCTTTTCAATGTCGCCAAACTGGAGAACAGATGAGTAGCATCCGGCGCCACGTCCCTGATGTTGCAATTCTCCATGCAGATATTGCTGGATCATCTCCGACGACACGTCAGCCTCGAAACCTACTCTCAGCCGTGTGCGTAGCTTCTTTTCTCCCGGCTTGTTCGACGTAGACGCGTACGACATGTTGCCAAAAGACATATCGAGATATCGTGACAACCCGCGGTAATCAGGAATCAGCCGCCGAAGGTCGGCTTCATTGCGAATCCACATCTGCATGTTCTTATACGTCCTGTCGGAAAGTGGTAGGATACGGAGAGTCTCTTCTGTGTTCCTGAGCGTGTCGGACAAGGTGTCCAAAATATGTTTCAGGATAATGGATGCATGTGATTGGTTACCCTCCTGCTGACCTGGGTAATTGTAGACCATGCCCAACTCGACCAACATAGCCCTGCCTTCCATTCCATCCAGGTCGACATTGCGCAAATCATCCAGGCGCTCTTCCAGCGTCAAAGTTCGTTGGGATTTCCGTTTGGCTCCGGGAACGTTAGTTGTAGGCCTCGATTTTGCCGGCTCCTGTGTAGCAGGCTTAGTAGACCTTGGCGATGGGTGCAGCCGTTTTCCACTAGGTCGGGAACCTACGCTCGGGTCCGTTCCATCCACGTCCATTGCGGTAGCTTGTTCATCAATTGACACCCGTTGAGAGCGTCCTTTCTTTCTTGGCGGAGACGCTAATTCCGGTTCAGATTCATCACCTGTGTTTCCTGTCAATTCGGAGACTGTTTCATCAGTGATGGTGCGAGTCTCAGCGTGGCGACCTCTGCCGGATCGGCTACCACCAAATTCATTGTCGGTCGGCCGAGTGCTTTCAACGATAATGACGGATTCTTCAGATGCATCATCATCATCATCATCAGCATCATCGTCAGTCTTATTGTCAAATTCGCTGTCGTCACCGGTCTCATCTGAATCCCACCCGTCAGGTTGGGCGTACCTGTTAACCAAGCCATTATCTTTGTCACCGATTGGAGCATCTTCTTCCTCGGAATCTTCATACTCCGGATCGAAAATCTTTCTGACACCCTTGTGGATTTCAACTTTGTCAACTGCGTCGTTCGGAAAACCCGCGATGACTTTAGTCTTCATTTCCTGTATGCATCTTACAGGAGTCACCTCTAGAAATTCGTCAAACATCATAGTCCAAGGATGATCGAACATGGTAGCACAGATCAACCAAAATTGTACCAAAGGTGTCTCTTGTCGTAAGCGAGGATTAGAATCGTCACGACAGAATACAAGTCATCCTGTTGAATTGTCGAATCACCCAAAAGACCGACATCGAAAAAGGAGGAAGGAATTTGTTGGGCGACCTGTAGAGCAATCGCTCTCACTCCCCAGATATATTCCGTGTTCTTGTCGTCATCCTCAAAAATCGAAATCAAAAAGCCCAGAACGCGTTGCCAGTCGTTATCATATTCGTCGAAAATCATATTAACTCGGACTTCGACCGAGAACTTAGCATAGAAGTCCTGGAAAGGGCTATCGAACCTGGGAAGGGCTTGAGACCAGCGGGCGTTGTGGTCGTCGATCCATTTCGTAAACACGTGATTTCCAAACTCGATCTGAGTAGAGTTCTTGTCATAGCCGATAGCGACTAAATCTTGAGTGGAGAGCCCGAAGTCAATCAGTGGGCGCAATGTGTCGATCACTTCTTGAGTTCCGGAATCGTTGGAGATCTTGGGATCTCTGTCTTTAGGTTGACGTAAATCAACAGAGGATGCATTTTCCAATCGTTTCTTTCCGCTCTTTTTGGAGGTAGAACCCGACTTAGATTTTGATCCGCCTGCCTTCTTAGCAGCCGTTGAGACAACCTTCAGAGATGTATACTTTCCCATTGTAAAACAGTGAAATGCCGTTGAATTGATAAAACTGCTGCAATTCCTACATAGACTATAGTACTTAGGCTACGAATACCGTTTGCAAAGTTCCGATCGGTTCGGTGCTTTTCGTTTTCCGTTTTTCTTTAGTTGACGAACCTGCTGTGGCAGCAGGTTCGTCAACTAAAGTATATAATCCATTGCCATGTCCAAATTGCCATGTAGTCCCGTTTCTGGTTACAAAGAAGCTGTTCTCTCTCTTTGTGTCCATAAATACATCAAATCCATCTTTTACCATGTTCGACAAACTGTTGATGTTGTCGCTAGCTCGTGTATCAAGCTTACAAACAGAATCAAATACCTTATCGATTCCTTCTCGATAAAGGTTTCTTCCATCCACATTAGAGGCATAATGGAATCCTCCATGAATTCCTTGTAGACTTCCTTCTTTAAAGTCATCTTCATTGGTTCGCAAATGAAAAGTAGATCCACTATCCAAGTGGATACCAGTATTGTTGAGTTGGAACAACATCATCCCTTGTTGTCTTGGATGATTGTCAGTATGTCCTCGTTGAATAAATTGTCCTCCATGGGATCCATTGTTGAAACGTCCATAGTTCCATTGAGTATTTGAATCTCTCGATTCA